AGGTCCCCCCTTCCATCCGCCCCCCTCCCCAGACAATCCAAGCACCCTTCCCCAGTGAGGAGAAGGTGAAGTGAGGGACAGTAGGAAGTGGCACAGTGGAACTGGCATTTCCCCCCTCTACGTGCGATTCAGCGTCTGGAAGATTCGGGAGATCTGGAGCATGACAGGCCCCGTTTCTGGATCGTTCATCCACTGAGTGCTGTTCAAGGGGTTTTCAAGCATATCCTCGAAGGCTGCCGAGAGAGGGAAATGGCAAAACTCAGTCCTTGGGTCAGCAAAAGCTTCCATGTATGGGATGCTTCAACAACGGGACAGTTAGAAAGAGCTGCAACTCAAAGGCAGTAGGCGAGCATCACCCAAAAATGGTGGGAATAATACATTTACCATTTGCACTCCTCAGGCTCTACAGCCCAGGATGCTACAAGGCTGGTGTGCTTTCCCCATTCACTGCAGACAGAGAGTGATTAAGTACTCAGCCTGGATTATTATAGTCCACCTTACAAAACCTCAAGGACACGGGTTTGAAGAGCTAAAGCCTCAGCAAATGCCCACACACAGTAGCAAGGACCAGGCTCTGCATTTCATCCAGTTATGAACGCCCTGAGTGGCCATTTGCTGCCTGTGCCCCTGGGGGAAGAGTCTTTTGCAAGTCCACTCTTCTGATCAAAGATTTTCCACAGCCACATTACATTTAGTAATGGCTAGTTCTTGCACCTTTATCTCTCTCCTCCTTGGTTTTTAACCAAGGCAGTTCACAGAAAGCACTGTCACCCCCTTGCTCTGTTACCTTCCCTCTCCTGTGCTGCACTCTGGTTGTCCTGTGGCTCCTCTCTCGTAACATCTCAGAAGAGAAAACTAAGCCAGTAAAATGAGAAGCAGGTGAGCCAAAGGCTGCCCAGGAAGGAGCAGCAGAGCCAGCAAAAGTGCAGCACCTTGAACCCCCAAGTTTCAGAGCTCTCCCTTTTCATAGAGGCTCCTGAACCCAGAAGGGAAGCAGCATCTTCCCTCAGAGCAGCACATGCTCTGTCCTTCCTGGGGTCTGGAGAGCAGAAGGTGGCAGGGAGGCAGCCAGTCCCACCTGCCCGGACCCAGGCAGAAGGGGAAATGCTGTCTGTGCAGAAGAGTCACTTCCCTTTCTGAACAGGGACAGCCATCCCAATATTTAAGAGCAGTTTTTGCTATCTATACTCAGTTGCCTTTACAATAAGCTTTGTTGTTTTGCTGGCTTTGTTTTTTAAAACGTGCTAATTTTCACTCTTCTACTTGTTTTGAAGGAACCAGACAGCTAAGCTGCAGATTTGGCAGAAGATGGGTGCAGGCAGTAATTTATAAGCCTTGTGACAGACACTGAGCTGGACTACTGGACATTTGGAGCTGTCGCTATGGACCAGGACAAAAAAAGCAGTGGCACTTCTGACCTATTCAGAAGTCACCCAAATGTCAGTGTTGTAAGAGGCTGGCAGGCTGGCACCAAGGTCAGTGTCTTAATTTTCCCAGGAGAGTTAGTGTACAAAGCTCCAAGGGACATTAGTGGGAGCTGTTAAGTACCCAGCACCTCCCAAAAACTCATCATTAACACCTTGCTCAAGGTCATGCTGCATGCCTACAGGAAAGCCCAGAATAAAGGGCAAATCTCACTTCTCACCACTTTAACTAACTATATTCTTTTACACAGACTCAAAAGCTTAAAACTAAAGATGTATCAACATTCTGTGAGTATCCAATTAATTGCAAACATTCATTATTAAATTCTGGGACATAAGCAGGTGTAACGTTAGGAATATATTCTCTGATGTTCCTCCAAACTTTACAAGCATTTCATTTTCTATTTATACTCTGAGCTGCAGCGTGGAGCCCCTGTTGGAAATGGAGACCATTTGTTCGGAAATCAGGGTGGGAAGGTCCTGCTCTTGAATTATTATTTAAAGGCTTGCAAACTCTCCTAATTACATTTAAAGTAGTACTTTCTAAAGGCTGCACACGCAGCCTTTATGTAAAAGCAAGTCTTCAAATAAATTCTGAAGCCAAAGACTAAATGTAAAACTTTTTATATACATCACAGAGCCCATGTCATTCTTCTGTATCATCCTCCAGTGTCAGAGAGACCAATTTATCAGAGATTTGTGTCCCACCATCAGGCTCATCAGTTGGGTACTGGCTGTGCTCACAGCCTTTCCGACCACGAACACACAGATTTTACCACGGAGCTGAAACTCAAAGCAAGGCAAAGAGTATTTTCATATGTTATCTCAGCTTTGATAGGCAAGGCCTGAGCTCAGGCTTTTGTTTGGTTACTCTTCCACGAGATATCTTCCCTGCCAGTGATCAGGCCTCAGCACACAGTAAACTTTACAGCAGGAGACAGCCTTGTTTTTTCTGCGAAATAATCAGCGTTCTAGACAGACATTCCTGATTTTTCCCCTCGTGGCCAAAGGGAGTGCACAAAAGGTCTCCTAAATCCACAAAAGCACTGCAGCCAGCAGCTATTGAAGTTCTGAGTTCAGCAAGTCATCCAGCAGCCTGGGGAATCGGTGTTGTTTCTGGGACAGCCCCAAGTTCTGCTCTGGGTTTCGCTGAGTTGCAGTACCAAGCAAACAAACAATACAGTTGCTGAAAGCCAGGAAAGGGGTACAGAGCAGCACCTCTCCCACAAAGCTTGCTGGCATCATCCAGTCCCTTTTCTTATTTGCCAGCAACTACAGAGACAGTGTATATATATCAGGAACCCAAGCAGGACTTACCTAGTAGAGTTTTAGGGTTGGTTAGCCCTAACTGTACCACTGGGTTTTCTAAGATGGCTTGGAAGAGAGGGCTATTGGTGTCAATTCCCTTGTCTAAGTCCTCTGGAGAAGGCTTTCTGTCTCCCAGCAGCCATTCACACTGCAAGAAATCACCAGGCACAACAGATTTCATGAGTGATTCCATCAGAACGAAAGCATCTCAAAAGTTTTGACAACATGGCATGTTAAAAGTACGTTTTTCCCCTCACGCTTCTTTTCAGACTAGATTACTATTAATTTGTGTGTTGCTCCCACACCTTTATTTCAATGGGAGCAGCAGCTGTGCTGGGAAGATGTGTGTTATCCTACTTGTGTGCTGCCTCAAAAAGAGCCCCATCACCACTGTTACAATGCAACAGCCTGAAGTACCACCCAGCCCAAGGTCCTCTAACAACAGCCAGCACCGGATGCTTAAGAAGAGAAGCCTCCTTGGCTGTCAGCTGTGCCCACATGATTTTCCTTAACATATCATCCACTAGCTGGGGACTAATCAATCTTTGAAAACCTTTACATTTTTGGATTCTGTAAACTGTGGAATGTGTTGCTGCAGAATGGCAATTTACACACTGCATGGCTTGAATCTCTTGCTCGATTATTTATTCCTGTCCTCTAATCAGTTATTAATTATTGGGAATTGGGAATACCTTTTCCTTTCTCATGAGGCACAATCTCTTTTGCAGACTCTGGTGAGGGAGTTTCTCAAAAGCTTTTTGAAAATCCACCTATGCTGTATGAACCAGATCAGACCCAACCTCACGCATGTTGAGTTCCTCTTAAGAAGTCTAAAACCTTTGTATTCTAGTTGTGCAGCTAATTTGGAAGAGGCACAGAACACATAGTGCTCATTTCATCTCCAATAACCGTTGGACTTCATGGCAGTTCAAAACATCAACCCATTCAATGATGAAAAGAATCAGTTGAACAGACTATTACAGCAACGAGGAACAGAAATGACATTGTACTCACAGCCGCGTTTTGCTGGTTGTTGTTGACTCTGAGCGCATCTACCACTTCTTTTTCATCAAATCCCATCTCCATCAGGGCAATGACAGCCTGCATCAGATTTGCACAGCTTAAGAAATGTAACATTTAAAACAGAAATGAGAACAATCATATCCTTGCCCTTTCTGTGCAGGAGCTTTTTGTGGGCTAAACCCCACCACTGTTTCCATTTGTAGACCACTAAGCAATCTTCTCTATTTTCAAACACCCTGTAGCAAAAGTGTCTTTATTATGGGAGAAGAATAAATCATAAGAGGGACAGCAGTTCCTATCCTCAGCCAAGCAAAGAGCAAGCCTACCTGGGGCAGGAATGAGAAAAGCAGGACAGAAACACCTTATTTTAGAACTTCTCTCATGTCATAAGGCTTTTGTTCACATCTCACTGACAGATCAAGCTCACATGCATCCCTAGTTCTATTCACTCAATTTAATTTCACTTCCTGGGTTTATTATCTTGCCGGTGAGCGTTATGTATTTAGACAAGCGTACCTAGAGACTGTTATGAGAATGTTTAATCATTTAGAAATTGTACCCAGGTCATCAAATACATTTGCAGCTTTTAACCAAAATCTCAAGAAACACCTTTGATTGTGAAAACAAAGCACTAGATTCTAAAGAGCACCTCCTGGTGAGTTTACAGGATGATAACAACACAGATTTTCACTTCAACTAATACTGAAAAAAGGGTTCTTCTGCATTTGCTACAAGACTTAAATCTGCTGGTGGTGATTTTCCTTGTCTCCTAAATACAACGATGCTCTTTTGTTCTTTTCTACAGCAAAAGGACCTCAGGTCCTGCAACCCTTCCTTCCTAGACAGCAGACAGCAAGAGCAATGCCAGGAGTCTGGCAGCTCATTTCAGTCCCATCAGTTAGTTTTCAGGTGCAGAAGCAGCAGTATCTAAATTACTGGCACTGTTATCTGAGACAGCAATGCATTAATTAGGTAATATCCCTTTCAGCAACCTGAATTTAAACAGTCCCTAAAGACTTCCACTAAAATACTGTCAAGCCAGCATAATATACGTCTACCCAGATGGCCCATTCCATTTATTAACTAAACATTTATTTGGATTTGGTGCCTGCAGAGTCCCTTCCAACCCTAACGGTTACACAGCGAGACAAGCAGCACGTACCCGTGGGTCTGGACGAAACTCTCTTTTCCTCCTGATTTTCTTGAATATTTCTGTCAGCTCATCCTTGGCCTCTTCCCCACCAGCTTCCGAACTGGGACCTGCAATGGCCTCAGCAGAGGATGCACCAGCTTCAGTGATGGTTTCTGCTGGAGTCTGACCTGGAAGTGGAGCATCCACTGTAGGGTCATCGGCGTGTTCTATCAACCACTCCATGGCCTGGGTCACCGACATACTGAAAAGCAAATCCAAAAATAGGGATGAGAAACACTCCAGATGCACAGTAGAGTTCCACATGCCTTTGCATTTATTCCCGTGGTATACTGACTGGCAGGTTAATTAGTATCTGGAAAGCCATAAAGTTTTGGAGCAAATCTCAGAGCACCTTAATTCTCTGTGCATTCGGGACACCATAATCTTCTCAGAGGAATGAAGTCCAACTTGGACAGCTACAACCCAGATTTTATATGGCACTTCTGAGGGAGTCACCTAATTCTCCACGTCATCCGTTTTACTCCACAACAGACAAACACTGACTAATTGCAACTGTTGACAAAACTGCAAACAAAGCACATTCCAAATTTTCATAGAACATCTCAGATGCAAGCTGCTTTGTTGTTTCTTAAAGAGATCTCTCTGACATCCATCCACGGATCAAGGAATGACATTAACACCACAATTAAAAAATAAAAAAAGAGGGTGAGAAACATTACATGGGCACAATATGCCTTGAGCAAAGGCAAAATTCAACACAGGCAATTGTGCCTGGGCAGGCAGCACTCTGCTCTTCCTCCACTCTGACTTAAGAAATCCGTGATCCCTCGAAGGAGAGGCCAGCCCAAGGGAACAGACCATCAAGTTAACAACAGGGTCACTTGCTTCCCATGCAAGTGCTCCAGATAAGGGATCTCGGGAGCACCCCAATGAATACAGAGAAAGCCAACATAGTGACAGGGCAACTGAACATGTAATTTCATTTGATACATAGGAATTGTCACATGTTCACAGAAAGGAAAGCCTCTGCCTGTTTGGCTTTTTAGTTACAACATAAAAGATGGAGGACATGAGGGGAGAAAGTCTTTCTGAGCCGCAAGGGAGAGATACTGGAAAAGAGTGACTGGAATGTTATGGATTCTCTATCATTAGAAATCTTTAAGAATGGTCTAACAAACCCCTCTGAGGAGCGAGGCAGTACAGCAGTACAGTTGATTCTTCTTAGGTCAGGAGGTAATGTAGTAGTTGTCATATTTTCCTACAGTTGCTATCTGGACTCTACAATATTCTTGGAATGTTTTTAAAAGATCAGCATAAAGTATTTTTCTACAGCTGAAGGACCAACGCGGATGGGCTAGGTTTGCTTTTCTCTCTGTAAAAATCTGAATTCTAGAAGTGGAAGAAAACGTGAGTTTAATACCTGGAAACAGTGCCAGGCTGGCAGCCTTGTGAACCACAGAGCAGCTATTCTTTCCAGAGCCAGCACAGCACAGTTTCCCCTTCCCTGTGCCACCTCCACCTGCGCGCTGCCTGAGGCAGCACTGTTCTTTGAGTTATGCTTCTTCCAACCTAGTTTTAGGTGACCCACATAAGGAGACTTTAGATAAAAAAAAAAAAATGCAGATTTTTTTTTTTTTAACCGTATCAAGTAATTTAGAGGCAGCGTGCTGAGTACACTTACTGATTTAATCGAAGGGCTTTGACAGCTCTGCTTTCTGGAAACCCCATTTCTGTGAGCTGTCGCAGAGCTATCTCATCCACTCTGTCTTCCTCATCCTCATCCAGCATGGCTATACATACACAAACAAAACAATGTTCAGATTCACTTCAAGCTAAAATAAACCCCTTTCTCAACAGAATAGCATGTGTTAAGTTTAAACCCCATTCTTCTCTTCATCCCTTCTTTTGTTTCTGCCCCAGATTTGCTATCTCATCATTTAATTTGCTGCACTCAGCTTGACCCAGCTCAGATAGATTCCTCCAGGACAAAGACCTTGTCCAGATGTGTTCAAGATCTCAAATGAAAGACAGCTGACTCTCACATGACCATGGTATTTCCACAGAAGTAAATATATAAATAGATCTTTAGTGGATCTCCTACAATTTATCCAAAATGTAAGTTGAATCTGGTCATAGCAAATCTCAAGGGCAAGCATTTCCCACAAACTGAATTTAACAGCTACGCTTCCTCCTCATTTTACTATTTCCTTCTGCATTTTCAACTATTCTTTACCAATGCTAAAGCACAATTTGTGAAGTTTTCCCATTTTTTCACTACCAATGATTTTATTTTTAAGTTGAACTTCTTATGCATCCCAAAGGGACTTTTAAATTCCCAAGTTTTATACAATCTTTATCCACAAGGTGAAATCTTTGCCCCAAAGTTTCTAACAGCTTTGCTATTACATCAAGGTCTGGACTTCCCTCCACAAGCCCACTCTTCTGCTGTGGAAGCAAACAATTTCCCAAGATTGAACTAGGAACTGTAGAGATATATGGTTCATACCATTTGCCTTCTTAAAGAGTTCAACTGCATCTGGGTTCAGTGCTAGTAATTTCTGTGCAACTTCTATAAGAGACACTAAGATCTTCCGGAGCTCTGTCTGGAACTGCAAGAAAGGAAACTGTCAAAACATTTAGACAGGAGGTTACCAGACATCATTAAATCTTAATATATCTATTGTTAGTATCTCAGCAGCAGTCTGGCTCCCTGTACAGATGGTTGCTTTATTAGGGCTTTATTTTTATTGCTCAGTCTCTCAAGGAACACTGGGCCTTTCCTGTGAAGTGCTACATGTAAATAAAAGCTACTGGACAGAAAAGTCCTTTTATTTCTACCACAGTTTGCTGCCCAATACCACCACAAGACGTGCAGTGTTCAAGAAAACTCACTGCTTCACAGAAACACTTTGACTCCCACCCTGCTGTTGTAAGACAACAGTCACAGTAGCTCCGCAGCGGTGGTACCCGCTTCTGGGGAGTCTCCCTGCTCTACTGTTTGCTTTCTAGCAATCTAAATGCAAACAGCACACATCAAGGCTGTTTTCTAAACTGAAGCATCGCAAATTCCTTCCAGTTGGACATTTGTTTTTTAAAACACCATGTTCAGTAGGTCATGTACGCCATTAAACAGCTTAAACGCCAATTGCCCCCAATTTTAGGTTAGTAGGGCACTCTGAAAACATGCAATATCTAGGCAGATTTGCCACTTCATTTCCCTGCTACTATAGAAAGGTAAAAGTAGTCCCCACACTGCTGAAGACACAGTTAGAAACACTGCAAGCAATTACTAAAGTCAAAATTTATGCCTAAGTTCTCTTTTCAAAGCCATGGAAGAAAAAAAAACAAACAACCCACTGCAAACACCTGAACTATTTTAAGACTGAAGAAATAAAGTGTCCTAACTTCACAGTTGCCAGGTTTGGAATATGCTTACTGAGGCTTTCCCAATGACAAATAAAACATTTAAAATCATAATTTAGAAGAACGTGTTTTATTATCACTGAATAGTATGACCTGTGTCTAAATCTTAGGCTATCTGCTTTAATACACATTGTACACATCTGGATTTCTTTTACAGAGAGAAGAGAATCACATTCACATGTAAAAGAAAAGGTTATACAAGACAAAAGCCTCTTTGGATGTTAGTGAGTGAGTTAAAGAAGTCGAGTGTGATACTTACATCCCTCATGTTGTGATGGGCCACAGTGCGATCGACATTGCGAGAGGGCAGATTTGCAGTTGCTTTGAGAATAGCATCCTTATCAGGAGCTTTCTGCTCTTGTTTCCTCTGAAGGATAGGAAACACCATCAGGTTTCATAACCCATTATCCCCAGAACAGAGAACACAGCATAGCCAGGAGCAGTTTCATGTTCTTCACCAAGGCATCAAGCAGTGCTCTGTAACTTGTGACTAAGAGAAACAGCAGTCCAGCAATACGATGGATTAAGAGCACCAGTATAATTTTGCAAATCTAGAGCAAAACTGGAGCTGGAGGGTTACCTTACATCTATTTCTGTTGTCTAAACACGCAGGGAAATTCCAGCATAAAGAGGGAAGGTGATGTATCAAACATGGAGAGAACTCTGAGGCCTCAATGCCCAGACCATATCCTGCCCACAAAGGCTGCTCACAGCACACTCTTCAAACCCATGGTTTATCAAGAGTTGTACCAAAACTGTGCACAAACTAACACTTAACTGCTCAAAGCTGGAAATACTTCGCTGCTTGCAAGTATCATGCAGAGATATACACTGCCTTGGATTTTCAGTACATGCTTATAGTCCAGGACAAAACATAGCAGGGTACAAATTGTAAGTACTTCCTAATCTGTAACTTATGCTTTTATAGTGACATTCTGCACAGCAAGACCATACTGAAGAGAGAGACATACACCAACACCTACAGGAAGCAAGAGGAAACAAAGCTGTGCGAGGATGAAGTACAGAGTCCTAGAAATTCACAATGTCAAGCACAAGCATTGCTCAAAGTGTCTATCTGATAACGTCAGTTGCAGTACCACTTGTGCACAAGCATCACCATGGGCATCACTGACCCTCAGGAACAATTACATTCTAATAAAGTGAAAAAAAAGAACCGTAGGGGGTCAACACTTCAGCTCTAGAGACCTGGTTAGAGGGTGATAAGCCACACACAAAGACAGAAGACAGCCTGACAGTAAATCAACATACTTGTATTAGATTTTCAGACAGAGAAAAAGCAAGGCACTTGCTGAACTATGCTTATACAGTTATTAGATATTTGTTCAAAGATCAAACCTATACCACTTCCACAGACTGCATCTGCATGTCTTAGTCCAAGGCAAATGTTCTCACAACCAAAGCTAAAAATGGAAAATCAGCTTCCTCAAAGTTTGGAAGAAATGTGAAATGATTTCCCTAGAATTTACCTGGCAGCATTTGCCTCTACAAATAAAGAGAGTACACCACATTAACTGCTTTATTAATGAGCTGTAGAAGGATTAATCAAAAAGGCCAATCTTTTAAACTCACTTTCTCCTCTGCTGACACATCTGCCATTTTGGGGAGCGGAGGCGGCGCACGCTTCTTTATTAAAAGCAAGACATCTAGAAAAAGAATGATAGTGAAATAAATTAGAAAGTAACGTGAAAACAGTTCTTCTAAGACACCTCACAGATTGAATTTTTCCTGGAGATCGATTTTGTATTAATTCCACTGTAGCATCAGACCTTTTTCACACTTTAAAACTTGTATGGCTTTACACAGCCCCCTTCGGTATTTGCAATTATTGACTGCACAGTGAATTCAAAACATGGTCTGTTATTAGTTATGCTTTGAGTGTTACTCCTCACACAGCATCATTAAAGAAAGAGTATTACAGGCTTCAGTTGTCTTGTACATGAACAGTATGTCAATTGGCTCGTCATCATAAGAAAGCATGAGCCCTTTTAGTGCAGTAGAGACAGACCAGGGATGGGTTTGGTCTAAGCTGGGGCCATCTTTCAACTGCAGCAAGGCAAGAACCAAGAGCCAACAAGAGCTTCCAGTACCAGGCTGAAGCTCACCTTTGTGTGTGAATGGCAGCAGCAGAGTGATTCAGGTCTACAGCAGGGGTGCATCTCTGGTAGCCCACCAGGGCAAGTCTCGAGGACAAATGAGTCTTCAGTCTCAGATACCCCACATGACCTGGCATGAGCTTGAACTGGCTTTAAAGACTCATACTTTCCCCTTACAAGGCACCCTTTTCCTGGATGCTGGGTGATGCTTTACAGTTTCTAGCACCTCAGTTACTACCACATACATTCTAAGGGTGAAAAAATGCAGACACACCAGTCAGAGCCCAAAAGGGGCCTGTGCAGCATCTGCTGTCCTTCAGCCAGGCACAGCCCGACACGCAGTTTTTAGTCCATTTGCATCAAGCAGGTACAAAAAAAAAAGCAAACAAAGCACGCTTTGCACAACAAGTTCCCTTGGTCTGGCTCAGCACATAAGAGCCAAGAGCAACAGCTGGTGAAGGCTCTTAACCCTCATTTGTCCAGCTGATCTGAACGTGAAAGGATCCACATGCTGACTCTTGGCTGCCCTGTGCAGTCACCCAGTGGCAATCAGCTGTTGGCCACGATCTCCTCTCCCTGACAAGGGACATGAAAGGGACAGCACGTTGCAGAGGGAAAAGGTTTTACTCTGACTAAACAGTTAATGCTGCTTCGCTGCCGCAAACTGCAATTCAAAACGCGGCAGGAGCCGGCACCTCGCCCAGAAATAATACACCAGCCATCAGCAAAAATGCTGTCCCTGGCCTTTGCCTGCGGTGGCACCTCTCAGCTCTGAAGGTGACAAGTAACACTGCCTTGGAAGAGATGCCAAACTGCTCTCGTTCGCAGCAGCCTGCATGAACTCCTGCAAAAACCCAGGAATTTTACTCCTGCTGAGTTTCTGGTTCAGACAATATTTCAGTTCTGCTTCTCTCGCTTTCTGCACCACTGCCCTTTAGCTCCAGAAGGGGCCATCAGCTGAAGCTGTCTAGTAAACTCCAGCTCTCATCTTTAGATCTTCTTTTGTTTCACATTAATCCTTTACACCTTTAAAGTTCAGGAGCAAATACAAAGCTCCCATACTCTACTGCAGTCAGTGATACTACAGTGTGATGGATTCTGCCCCATGTTTGCAGAGGACAGAACGAGATCTGAACTGCAGACACTCAGATACATCCTGGCAACCACCCTCCTGCTTGACCTGGAGACCTCAAAAACCAGCCCCCCAAAAGCATTGGGTTGTCTGCCTTGGAATACTCAGCCACCATAACTAATTTTGAAGGATAAATGCTGCCCTGGAGGTTTCTAAGAAAAACCCATAAAATGAGATAAAAATAATCTGTTTAACTTATTGACTTAATGAACACTCCTGATTCCTTTCCAGCTCCTAAAAGGAAGAGGGAACAGAATCAAACTGCTCAAGGTGCTTTCTCTGGGGGAGGAAATAACTTTTTTTTCCTCTTCCTTTTGTGCCACCTTATGAGCTTCCTATGTCAAAGCAGAGCAGATCTTAAAAACGTTACTATTTGGAACTCACCAAATAGTGAAATACAATCTGATGTTTCGAGGCTGATAGAATTAAAAACCAGACAATCTTACCTCTATCTTGAATGTTTTCCTCCAACACTGTTTTTGTGTCTGTCAGCACCTTCTCAGAAGTAGCGTGGATCAATTTATGATGTGTCACAGTTTTTGGATCCTCCAAGCTCCCAGGTACACACTGCAGAAGACAATAAATATTGAAGATCAGACGACAGAAATAAGCCCACTGCATGAATCACTGCACCTTGCACTTAAGATTCTCTCCATACAAACTGTGCCATCATTTACTAGATTCTAACAGCTTAAGCTAGAGGCCAGCACACAGAATGTATTTTATTAAAGAAATCCAGGCTTGAATTGTGCTGTAACACAACTGAGTGTGGCAACAACCGACCACTGGAATAATCTCCCCCAGGAAGCAGTGGATTCTCCAACACTGGACACGAGATTCAGCTGGTCAGGGGGCTGGGCATCTTGTCTAGACCGTGGTTTTGCCACCAAAGGCTGGACCAGGTGATCCTTGAGGTCCCTTCCAACATGGGATCCTGTGATCTGAGAAGTCTAAGGGTAGCAATTAGTACTATGAAGTAAGAATGCAAATCCACAAGGAGCATCCAGTGGTTTGGCAGAAGGGCAGGCTGTAATAGCGCACTGTGTTTCTCATTTGTAACTAGTGTCAAAATAGAGGAGAGACTCTGTTTCATCTAATAATTATTATTTACACACGCTGTCAGACTAAACAAGAAACTGCCAGCAGTGATTTCTGGATGCTTGACCTTAAACTGGGAGGGAAACAGCAGTTTCTGCACCTCATTTCAAACCGAAATCAACAGATTTGGCTGCTGGAGCCCTAACCTGGCTTCCTGCTGAAAGTGCTGAACAAAAATGATATTCACAACTTTTATTTTCCCCAACCATCAATAACCAGTACACAGTAGAACATTGTGGTCAATTCCTTATTACAATTCTAAATTGTATGTCAATTAATTCACTAGGAAATCAAGTTCAAATCCTAAAATAGAGTGTGCACACACACACGGGCCTTGAACTGACACATCTTCACACCAGAGCAGGTCCTGGGTCCACAGCAAGAGATTTCAAGAACATGACATCAACGCATCTGGAGCCTTCTAATTTGTTTGAGTGGAAAAAGAAAGCACAGTGGTTGCAATTCCAGAAAGGCAAAATTAAAAATAACCTCCAAAATTGCTGCTGTTCTCACCACAAAATAGGACACTTAATTCTGACCTCACCTGCTCTGCTCACAGAAAACAGCTTTTAATGATGCTTCAATGCACGTTTCTCCTGAGCCACTTTTACCCTGTTTGCAGGAGAATGTGTTCACCCCACTGAAATCAGTGCTTTACTTTGATGTAGCACTTAGTCCTGTTCATCATAATATCCACCACCAGCCTCCTTCAAAGGAATCCCTTTCATCCATCACCACCTTTTCTGTTGTGACTGTAGCTGATGGAAGACTCAGCTGCCTGCTCTCTTTTCCAAACATAACGCCCTTGGTTTCTACACAGGCAGATCTTTTAATTCCTCATCTGAACTTCCATGCAGTTCTGATGCCTCGATAAGATTGAGGGGAGAAAGTTAGAGCCCTGCTTTGTATAACAGTAGCTTCTTACTAATCTTTCAGCATATTAACCGCTGAACAAAAGCCAAAGAATGCATTAAAGCCTAGAAGCAGCTCCTGTGATTGATCCAGTGAGTTACCCGAAACACACGAGCACATCAGTGGAAAGTCTCCCTGAACACCTCAAAATATTACTGTTAGAGAGACTCAGAGTATGAACCCAACAGGAAGAACTTGAAAACAGGAGCTGGGAGGTGTACGTTTGGGGTGGGATGGGACACGACATGGACCTATTATCCATTTTTTTCCCCTAGCACATATAAAGAGAGGTGCACGTGCAGGCGTAATACTTACCAATATGGTGAAAGTGAAAAAATAGAAGTTGTTGTTTTAAAAGAAAGTCCTGGTGACACCTATTCCTACTTCCCTGTTATCACCTTGTTAACAACTGCATAGAACAATAAGGCACGTATAGATAGCACAGGAAAGAGACTGCTCAGTGAAATACTTAATTTATCTTAACACTTTAACACGTCCTGAAAATAGAAAGGTCATTTTACCAGGCAATGCCTCTACTGGCTCTCAACAGCCCACCAGGACCTATAACCACTAAACATCAGATCTCACTGTGGAATCTTTTACGAGAACTGTATCTGCCAAAATCCTGTGCTTTCTTATTAAATCCAGTGCTTTCAAGTGTAACTGAAAACTTCTTCCTGCCCAGAGAGAGAAGAGCACTGGAAACTCACAGGGAGGGCAGTGAGAGGAATCCCATGTGCAGTGCAGAGTGTCACACAAGTGAAAAGAAGACAAGAAATCAGGGTGCACCCTGAAGCAGAGAAATCAGGGTGCACTTTGCTGCCCCGGGTCACAGGGAAGATGAGCTCTCTCACATCTTTTTGTACAAAAGGGTTATAAGGAGGAGATCTGCTGTTTCATGGTTTTGCTTCCAGCATAAATATTTGCATTTCTTTTCAAAACTGCCTTTCCAGCAGGCTGCTTTGCCAGGCAGGTGAGAAACCTTTGTTCACAGGTGCCTGAGCAACTGCTGGAATTTTAAGCCCCAGTGATGCTAAATGCTATTTGCCAAGCTCGGAACATTGATAAACCACAAGGCTTTCTGTTTGTTTTTAAACTAAGAGAAAGCGGTTTTTTTTGTTTGCTTTTATTAACAGAAACATTTGAAAATAGGACTGACGCTCCCTACTACTAAACTTGGGTGGCTTCAACCATCTGCATCCCTCAAAGTATCCAAAACATGCCCAGGGGCATGAACCTACCTTATCTTTGTACTCTGAGAACTAGCACCTTGCATCTGTTCCACAGATACTCCTTATCATACCTTAAAAACCAGGCAAGTATCACTGAGACAGCTTAAGAAAAAAAAAAAGGGGAAGAGAAGCACAGAAGGATGAAAAGCTTGCCCCACGCTGCCAGGAAAATGAGAAGTAGAGTTTCCACACACACACAGAGCCCACACTTGTGCATCCCGAGTGCACGATCACGATTTACATCACTATTTCAGAAATACTTGGCCGGTCAGCGCTGGGCACAAGAATTATGGATCATAAAAAATATTTAAGCCAAGCCTGAGTCTCTGTGGTTAAGCTGACCCTTCTCAATTCTGCTTCCAAAATGGACTGTTGCTTTTTAAGGAAACCCCAGGAGAGCTCAGGGCAGCGGGGCCTTCAGCAGGGACAAGTGACTGTTCCAAGAGAACATTTTGATGGCAAAACTCGAGTTGACTAAGCTAGAAAGGGAAAAAACTTATTATCAGGTATTTGTTCACAGACTACATAAACAGTATAACTACAGGCAGCAGTTTAACGACAATCACCACTGACTTGTTACAGATCAAGAGACAGAACTAGTAGAAGGGTTTTGGTTTTTTTTTTTTGCTTTATCTGTTACAAAAAAAAAAAAACAAAACACAAAAGAAAAGACATCAAGAGTGACACTTCAAAGATCAGCAAGTATCTGAATGTTATGGTGGGAAAAGTAGCCACTTTCCTAGATCAAATCTCTTACAAGGATTATCTTCCTCTGCTGATTGATTTCAAGAATGATTTCAAAGACTTTAGAGAACATAATAATCAGCATCTTAGAAGAGATGGCTGCATAAATTATCTCAAGGTGCTATCAAGATTCATTGCAACATACCCATGATCAGGAGCCAGGATTTTTCCATTTCTATTTTTCCCCTCCATAAAACTATATATTATCCATAATGGTTATGCAAATCCATACCATTAGCACAAAGCAGCAGAGAGAAGGAAATCAAACATCACGCCAAGTTATCAATTGTCTTCTGCCCTGACTCCCACTGCAATACAAGCATCTATTCAATTAAGCTTCCTGATAATTAAAGGCCTTTCAGCTCTGCACATATGCATGTAATCATTACCCCACCCTCTTTTGGCACCACTCTTCTGCTTAATCACTCAGCTGCGCTGAAGGGGGGACAAGAGGGGAGCACTAGACTTCTCCCAGGGACAGAACAGTGTGGGGAACCCTGCACCCCCATTCTCCCTCAAGAAGGATCACACCTCCCTCAGGAAAGAAGACCCAAACGTGGCCCTTCTCATCCCTAAATCAAAGAGCACTTACAAAGGCTACAGGAGAAGAAAAAAAAGCATGTGCTGTGACCTGTAGTTTCCAGGGGTTCTAGCTGAAAGCAAATAACCAGCAAGCCCAAGGCAGAGGGCACCTGGTACTTCACAGCCTGCTCATTCAGAAAATAAAACCTTTTACCCTTCAAATGGGGGTTGGGTAATTACATGTTACAGGTATGTTCTCCTACTGCAGCTGTGATTTATGGAAAAAAAAATAATTTGCAAGACTCTGAAGATAAAAAGCCCCAGAGATGGGGCCAAAGCTCTTGCTTTTCACCCTGAGAAGTTACACGTCCCTCAGTGAGGAGTTCAGCAGGTTACGACTCACGCTGCCAGACCACCTTGTGTTGGATCCAGAGACTTTAGGAAAGCCCTGGTCATGGGTCACAACCTTACACGCTGCTGTTGTCAATCACATTTTTGCTTTAACATAAAATACTCACGGGCAGATGTTCAAAATTCAGTCCAATGGTTTTGAAACCCCTGTTTTTAACATTTAACACCCACAAAACACCTCAATGGTAACTGAGCATGTGAGTATGAAGAGCCTGTGCAATTTTTTCACATTTTTTTTTCCAGGCAGCGATTAGTAATTTACACTTTGGACACATCCACTGGGACCTTACTGCCCAGAGCACAGGGCGAGCGTTAGACGAGCCAATTACCCCCCCACTGAACATCCCATTGGTCACTGGGCCAACAGGGTGACGCTGTACTGAGACTTTCAAAAAAGGCAAGTTCTCCTCTGCAGTTACTACTTCCCTCGTCTGCTCTTAAATATAAACAAGAAACAAGCCAGGCTATAATCTGTGAGGGAAAGTCATCAGAAGCCAGTTCACTGCTCTTGCAACACACAGTGACTGGTTCATAAAGTGCACACAGGAGCTGGGGGTCTCTACCACAAAACACACACCCAATTCTGTAACTAAAGGTTGCAAAGTAATTTCCCCCAAATTCCTCATTTTCCAATACACAAAGCTCTTGAAACGAGCATTTTCTTTCTATATGGGACATTTGCACATTGTTTTGGGGGGGGTGGCAGACAGGGCAAACCAGGAAACCAGGACACAAAGCCTCTTGTTTACTTTTACTTCGACGTTTACAGGGCGTTGAAAAAAATCAGTTTTCCTCACACGGGGACCCGCCGGTCCCTCCGCCCCCACCGTGATTTTCAGTCCCAGCCGGGAACACACCCCGTAGGGCGGAAAGCGCCGAGATTTGGGGGTTATCTCTGCCCCACACCCGCCCCGCGCTCGCCGCTCCCTCCCAACGCCCCGAACGACCCAGGAGCCGACCGGGGGGTGTGGGGAGGATACTCCCGGCACCGGAGAACGGGACGGGACACCCCTCCTTACGTGCTTCAGGCACCGCTCCTTCAGCTTCTCCACCGTGGTGTCCTCGGGTACCTCCTCCAGCCACTCCGCGCCCTCCATGGTGCACACATGGAGCCTCAGCACCTTCCCCGCGAAGATCTTCTCCTCCTGCACGAACATGGCCCCGGGCCCCACCGCCGGCCCCGGGCCCCGCTCTCTCCCCGCCGACGCCTCCTCAACCAGGCCCCGGGCACCGCCGTGCTCCGGGCCCAGCGCTACCGCCAGCCCATGAAGGTGACCCCGCCAGGCCCGAAGGGAGCGGCGAGCCCGGCCGGGCCGCGCTGGGAGAAGGGGAGCTCGGTGTGGCCCCCGGCGGCGCTGCCCTGTCCCCGCCGCCCTGTCCCGGCCCCGCCGCCGCCGCTCCTGTCACCGCCTGGGCCCGCCGGTCCCTCCCAGGGGACGGGGGCGCTCCCGCCGCGACCGGAAGAGGAAAGAGGGTGGCGCTGCGGGGCATGCCGGGAAATGTAGTTTTCTGGAGGATGCGCCGGAAGTGAAGGCCGCGACGCTCCCGGGGCGGGAATAAAGCCCTCTGACTTCTGGGTGCGCAAGGAAGATTTTTTCAATGTTTATTAAAGACACAGTGGACGGAGGGGTGGCTCAGACTGAAAAAAATAATTATCTTTTTTTTAAAGAACATGTTTTCGCAGTGCATTGTGGGAATGCCGCCGCCCCGGGGCATTGTGGGAAATGTAGTCCTCCCCCGGGGCACGCTGGGAGCTGTAGTCCGTGGCGCTGAGGGCCGGAGCGGGCAGCGCTGTGTCAGCGGGCAGCGCTGGGTCAGCGGGCTGCCCCGCCGCCACCCGCCGCGGGGTCTCCGCCGGTCCCGGGGGGTCCCTGCCCTCCGCGCCCGGGCGGGAGGGGGCGGCCGGGGGACGCGGCGTTCTCCCTTCCGCCGTTAGAGGGAGACCGCGAGCTGCCGGCGGCGCCGCCGGGCGGGGGACACAGCCCCGGCGGGCGGGTGGCGGTGCTGGGCACCGGGAGAGGCTAAAGCCGCCCTCGGAGACGCACCGAGCGGGGCGGCCCCACGGCACCGGGGCCTGTCTGTGTGTCCCGGGCCTGTCAGTCTGTCCCGGGCCTGTCAGTCTGACCAGGGCCTGTTTGTCCATGGCCTGTGTGTCCAGGGCCTGGACTGTTTGTCCCAGGCCTGTCAGTCTGCCCGGGGCCTGTCTGTGTGTCCCGGGCCTGTCAGTCTGTTCAGGACTTGTCTGTCTGTCCCAGGCTTGTCAGTCTGTCTGGGGCCTGTCCTGTCTGTGTGAGGCCTGTCTGTGTGTCCCGGGCCTGTCAGTCTGTCCAGGACTTGTCAGTCTGTCCAGGGCCTGTCTGTGTGTCCCGGACCTGTCCGTCTGTCCAGGGCCTGTCTGTCTGTCCCAGGCCTGTCAGTCTGCCCAGGGCCTGTGTGTGTGTCCCAGGCCTGTCAGTCTGTCCAGGGCCTCTCAGTCCGTCCCAGGCCTGTCCTGTCTGTCCAGGGCCTCTCAGTCTGTCCCAGGCCTGTCAGTCTGTCCAGGGCTTGTCTGTGTGTCCCGGGCCTGTCTGTGTGTCCCAGGCCTGTCCTGTCTGTCCAGGGCCTGTTTGTCTGTCCCAGGCCTGCAGTCTGTCCAGGACTCGTCAGTCTGTCCAGGGCCTGTCTGTGTGTCCCAGGCCTGTCTGTCTGTCCAGGGCCTGTCAGTCTGTCCAGGGCTTGCCCTGTCTGTCCAGGGTCTGTCTGTCTGTCCCAGGCTTGTCAGTCTGTCTGGGGCCTGTCTGTCTGTCTGAGGCCTCTCTGTGTGTCCTGGGCCTGTCAGTCTGTCCAGGACTCATCAGTCTGTCCCGGGCCTGTCAGTCTGACCAGGGCTTGTCCTGTTTGGGGCCTACATGTTTGTCCCAGGCCTGTCCATCTGTCTGTCCCAGGTCTGTCTGTCCGAGCCAGGCCTTGCCTGTCCATCTCTGCCCATCTCCCATCCCAGGTGCCCCAGGCCGTAGAGAGTCACTTCCAGGGGAGCAAGTGACAAAATTTGAAGCCTAATCCATAGGGAAAGGCTGCCCAGGCTCTTTCTACACACTCCATGTGCCTTGGCTTGTTTTCCCTCCCCAGATTATTGCCGGCAGCCTGACAGGCTGGGGGGCTTTTTGGTGTTAAATTTGCCATTAAAGGGAGCTTGAAAAAAAAAAAAAAAACCAAAAAAGACTTCAGCTCTAGCTGGTGGGGTTTTATGTGTGTATTAAACGGAGCTGTGCTTGTCTAGGAAATGTGAGGACTATGTCATCGTTTCATCTCGGAGAGAGCGCTGTAATATTCATGTTACACACAGTCTGGAGTTGGTTGAACGGCAGCTGAAGCTCTCTGGAAGAAATAAATCCAGACAGAATTAGCAGACCCAGAGACAATAAAGGCAATAAAGTGTTATTCGAGAAGGAGCCGGGAGCTCCGGAGAGCCAAGAGTCGATCCCATCAAAGAGCAGATTTAGTTTTAGGCTGTCAGAAGCAGAAGTTACTGCTGAAGCCCCCACTCAAGAGTGCGTTTTTGGGGTCTTTATGCCTAAATCGCGCTGGGCCGGCAGCTCCCAGGGGCCAAAGGGGAGATTTTCTTTCCCGTTTTCCAAGATGTGAAGGAATCCCATCCCTTTCCTCCGTTCTTGCTGGAGACACCGGCTCCCGGAGCCCACGAGAGGGAGCAAATTCCTCCTCAGCCAACTCCCCGCCAGCACCAGCTCCTTTTGGGGACAACCTGCACGAGTTTCACCCCCAAGGAGGGTGGCCCTGGAGCCCTGGGGTGTCCCCTGGGACTCGCCCGAGGAGAAGGTGCAGGTCCCGGGGGGCAGCAGTGGGGTGACCCCCAAGTCCTGCCCCACCAGCGGGAAGCCCTGGCTCCAGCCAGCGCTGCTCGAGGCTGTGTCCTGGCCGCTCTTTTCTTCTGATTACCTTCTTCTGATTATTCTTCTGACAGTTATTTGCTCCCTGCAACTTTTCCTGCTTTGTGGGTAGAGCTGGAAGTCTGGGTGCCAACTCAGGAAGGCAGCTCTTGGTGACCCCGGTGGTGGAGGAAGAGGAAGGATAAGGTTTTAGTAGGAGATATTTTAAAACGGGGAAGAAAGGTTGGGTGATTTCATGGCAGTTGTGAGCTCTGGGTGTGGGGAGGCTGCGTGGAAGTCACACAGCCATAAAGGGGGCTCTGAGCAGCCGCTACTGTGAATAAAAGCAATATTTGGAGATGAATCTGAAGCCGAGGCAGAAAAAAAAAGGAGATTTCTGCTTTCTGGCCATATCTTGCATCGAAACAGTGCTTGCCTAACACAAGTGGAATACTTTATTTTCAAGCTTTGAATGCGGCTCCCGTGTGCTTGATAAAATGTAGCCATAAAATTGCAAATACAAGGCAATTTGACTACTGATGGCTAATGCATCATAACGGCTAAGGAAATGTGGGCATTTAAAAATACCCCATTTAAACGTCGGGCATTACCTCCGTTACTTGCGCTGTAGCAGAATAAATAAACAATATGTGTGTATTATGTTAATATTGTC